TACTTAGTTACATCATACATAGATTGGGGGGGAGGTGAAATGGGAAAGCAAAAGAGCATCTGTCGTGTCTGAAGCACTATATATACGAGGCACTTTAGGGTGGGTTATGATCTAGGGCAGGCTGGTTTTGGAGGTGGCAAATGGGAAGGGGGAAGCATCCGACGCTCAACAAAATCCGCGCATGCTCGAAGGAGCTTGTCCAGCCGCTGATTGGTAAGCAGCATCTGCCCCAAAGCTTTGTAGTGATTTGAACAATGCCAAGGCCATTTGACAGCGGTAATGTGGCAGGACTCAGTGATTGATGAACATAGCCCACCAGGAGCCCCAAACTCCTGGATTTGATGGATGAGGTGGACAAGAGAGTGTTGGCGGGGAAGGTTGAAGCCGGTAGGTTGAACACCAGATGTATGAAAAATTTCACGGTGTGTGTGAAACCTCTCAATGGCCGTCTGGAGCGCTGCAAGTGATTCTTGAGTGATGTCAGCTCAACGGGCAATGTAGCAGGCATCCAAAAATGTGCTGATACATTGCACCATTTTGGGGGGTACGGGGTTAAGCTGTATCTTGGTCAGCTTTCCACCTTTTTTCATCATTGAAGGCTCATTTACATTGTATTTTAGTCACATTTTTAGTCACATTTGAAGGTCCTGAAGGTATGACATCCATATTTCTATGCTATCTCACATCCTCCCCCATTTTTTGTGAATTTATATTTATATTTAAAACCCTAGGGTTTCTATTATAATTCTATGCTCGAAATATATATTATATTGTGTATCTATCAGGTAGATGGCATCTAATTTACCCAGATTTATGGTCACATCACTTTAAAAATTATGTGCCGGCTTGAGCAAGCTTTGAGTCAGCTAAAAGCTGAGCTGAGCCACTTGAGGAAAGTTAGCTGGCTTACATCAGCTGGCTCTCGGCTAGCCGAGCTGCGGCAAGACTACTCCCTAGCACCTTCCAAATAAGGAAACCATGTGATCATTTTAACTGCCTCACTGCAAAACCAATTCACTGAAGGTCATTCTGGAAGCCCATGACATGTAAGATGATGCTGATAGAGAAAATCAGTGCCAGAGAGGAGGAAAGGGTGCTGTGGACATTATATTGCAAAAACACCATGGCTTCAAATATTTGTCAAGATAGATCAAATTAGCACTCTCCTTCTAAGTTCTTTTGCTGCCAAAGAAAGTCGTGATGTTTACAGATGCAAATGTGCTCACTGCTGGGTGAAAAAATCAAGAAAAAATGCAATAAGATGATGTGACCCAGAGTGACACAGTGACACCATTATTGATATCTGAGTCGAGAGCCAATGTAAGAATTGGTCAACAATGATGCAACCCATCACAGATTGTGCTGGATCACTGGTTGGGGGCAGAAAACGATGGTTAAGTTGGCAGATACAAGTCAAAAAATGTATTATATTAGGTATTTATTTGAGATAAAGTTACGTGTTTAAGGGCCCGGCCAGACCCCCCTCCCCCCAGGATGGTGTTTCAGAATTTCCCAGTCGGTACCCCTTGATTGGACAAGTAAACGTTGAGTAAACGACACATTGGGTAGATAGTACCGGAGACACCAGGGCCTCAGCGTGGCCCAAAGCCATCTTCTGTCTCCTGTGACACCATCAAAAATGCTCGCAAAGCCGTTTCAAAGCTCCTGCAGAAACATTCGCTTGCAGATACTTTAATGGAAATTCAACGGTATTTTATTTTTGCTTTGTCATCATCTTTTCTTACCCATTTGTAGTGAGAACCTTGCAGCCCAGAAGGCTCAAAATCAAAGCCATATCAACCTTGAGCTGCATAAGCAGATTATTGATGAGGTAAAGATGGGCTTGTGGACTATTGAACAAGCTCAGGAGAAGATCGAGGCTATTGAGAATGATGGTTCCCCTCGCCCTGCGAAACATCAGAAAAAGGTTGTTCAGGAGTTTAGCCCAGAGGAAATCTCCTCTGGCTCTGAAGACCAGTGAAACAATAATTTCTTTTCCCATCTTGAATTTCTATATTACTCATATTGTGATACACATAATTCCTCAACTAACTGCCTATGTTTCGTGTTGTTATCATCCACCATCCTCTTGTTGAATACCAGTATCTTCCTCCTCCTTGTTAGAACCATGGAAATTCATAAAATACTCTGCAGATTGGCTTCCCTCAACATTGATAACAATGTTATGAAGGATAATCGCAACTGAAATCCATTCACAGGCTTCATAGTGGTTGTTGTTGGAGTTGACATGGACTCGAAGACCATGCAAACACTGAAAGCAACCCTTGAGAGCAGTGAGCACCAATGCAATGCTCAGAGTGAACACAAAGGCCTGCAACTACCTTGTCAAACAAGGCATTCATTGGTTTGAGAGATGCTCGCTTTTTATGGACTGGGATTGTTTGGGAATTGACTGCATAGGCTGAGTCTGCCCATGCAAATTCTTCTCCCTCGAAGAACCAATCAGGATGCATAGCAGCTGTAGTATGCTCAAAGGCAGTTGCATCATGGGCAGAGCCAGTCATGCCATGGGTAAAATCAACAATTCGAAGGTTTGAGGGTGTGTTCCCCACCTCAGGCCTAGCACTTCTACGTGCTTCTGGGCCCTTAGAGGCCGATTCTTTGTCTGGGGGTAATTGGCCTGAGAGGGGGCCTTCCTAAGCACTGATGGCGGTGATGGCTAAAAATATACTTGCTTCGAATCATCAATTTTCTTAGATTGCGATCTCTAGCTCTAACAGTGCTCGATGAAAGCACTCCTCGCACTCTGGCTGCTCCTGGCGGTCCCTGCGCTGGGGGACTTAGATATTTCAGTTGTCCATTGCAAATATCACGTGCGCTTTCACTCTTTCCTTCTTTTCTTAGCTTTCCCGCTGCAGACACTCCCCAACGATGCGACTAAGCAAGTCGCATGCCCAACAGCCTGCCACCAAGGGCTTCGGGCAAGTCTTCCATAGTCCAAAAAAGCGACGCGACAGTCATAAAACCTCAACACAGGTCACGTATCTCGGACAAGCAGATAAACCTCGTCGTGCGCAGGAAGTTCTGGCCAGACTTCTGGCAGACCCTGGGGAGGAGGAAGATGATGAAGGGGGAGATGACTGTGAGGGAAGCATGGAGGTTCCAGGAGATCTGGGCAACTCAGGGTCGGGCTTCGCTTGGGGGGAAGGGGACGGGGACGGGGATGGGGATGACTTCTCCATGCCAGATAATGGGATGGACGTGGACTTGTGTCCTAGCACCCCTCAAAAATCCGATCCGATACCACCAAAGATGCCCATTCCTGCAAAAGTACGACACACTGGCCCAGATGCAGAGGCTAACCTCCTTTACCAGCAGTGGCAGGCTCTCATTCCCCGCCTCGTGTCCCTGTTCCTTTCCTTCATCTCAGCTACCCATGGAAAAAAGACCTTTCCCATCGATGGGGTTCGTTCAACGTGTCTCAAAGGGGACATATGTGTCGCAAAATCCAGAAAAGTCCTTTGTCTTTTTTTCGATTGTACATGCCACATCGTCTTCTCAACAAACCATTCTCATACATCCTTCTGGCAGATTTTGACACTTTCGAGGTCACTAGTTGCGAATGTCAGGACATTATGGAAACCCTCATCCTTCATGGTCTCTTTCCGACATTGCCCACCCAACCCCGGATGGCTGTATCCATTATTCTGATACAACACTACAACACTCTTTTTGAACATGCATGCAATGCTGTATACACGTATTCTCATGCTGTCAACCTAGTTTATGGGTGCTGAGGATTTGTTCACCGCAACTATCAGGTTCTCCATCTGATGCTTATCACCCACCCTTTTTTCTTACAAACTCTTCATTTCAGGGGGAGATTGTTCAGGACACCTTCTGTCGAGGCCTAGGTCATGCCATTCAGTGGTATGACAGCCTGCAAGTTCAGATTGAACAAGAACTTAAAGCAGCGACTGTGGCTGGTGACGCCGCCACTCCTTGCTCCTCGGAAACCAACCCGGCTACCATCACCACCCCTGAGGCACCCATACCCAAACAGTTGACCCCTGATTACAGTCTAGCAGAACCTCCTCTGTCCCTTGTCGAGTTGACTCCTGATGACAGCCCACCCGAACCTCCTGTGCCCTTGTCGAGTGCGCGAGGGTTCTACAGCAACACTGTCCAGCTTGCTTTGGATTGCGGACATTTGGGTGTTCAGGAGCAATGTACGTACCATTACTACCATGTTGCAGACTATGCTGACCAGGATGTTCCCAGAGGCACTGATTTCATTATCGCCCCTGATGGCAATTTCAGCCAATGCCACAGAAAAGATGTGGGCGATTGTCCTGAGTTCTACAGGCCAGAATACTTTCTTACCAAGGTGTATGTCGACAATGTTGGAAAATGCATCACGGAGGCGCAGGGCCAGCTTCCCCAAGCTTGCAAAGCTGCCAAAGTACCAGATAAAGCAGTGGACGAATGTGAAGATGGGCATGACTCCGGCAGTGGGTCGACCATCAAAACGAATATGGATCACTATGACGATGGAGGAGTGATGGCTCTTGTTTGCTGCCATGATGCCCCCCTCTTCCTCGCCAACATTGACACTCCTGGTGAGCAAGGTACGCGGTTTCCCTCATAGAACATCTGTTTTCCCTTCTGCCTCCAACAGCCATGGTGACCATTCTCTATGATGTTGCGTGTGTTCTTGATCGCAGCCTTAACTTGGTAAGTGCGCCACTACATTCACACATCTCTTCCTCACCACAAGCCAGTTTGACATACTTCCCGAAAGCCTCACCAGTCATGCTGACTTTGGCACCAGTGCCATGCATGCATATGTTCATCAGTGGTCGTGCCAACTCATCTACAACCCACATATTCGAGAAGGACCCAGCCTTTCTGATGGGGAGGGCGTGGAGCGTTTTTGGTCCCATTTACGCAAAATGATTGGTGTGACTTCGGTTTCAGCAGTACGATATCCATGAATACTAACCTTCCTGAGCTTATCGACCTTTCCACAGCGACGACGACACATCTGGATGCTTGATTGTCAATCCCGTTCCATAGGAGCTGAGCTACAGGATGACCTCGGTGATTGGATCCGGCGGAGACTCAAGACCATCGCAACTAAAGAAAATGAGGCACGGAAGATGTTGAGCAAATGTGGTGTACCAGTGAGCAAGTTATGGACTCAGTGGGGGTTACAGAAAGCAGCCCAGCTTTCTATCTGTGCTCGTTAGTCACCAAGCCATTCTATCTTTCAAATTTTCTAATTCTAAAGCACCAGATGCCCCTGCCTGTCTCAAGAAGGAACTGGATGCCGTGCTTAAGCTCCAAACCACCATTGACACCACTCATGACACCATTTCTCGCCTGGCCAATTGATTCTCGAAATCCACATTAAGCAGCTTAGCTAGAACTCAAGAGTGTTTGAAGGAGAAGGTCGAACAACTCTATGCATCATTAAACATTCAGGACTCGTTCCCTGAACTCAAGGATATCGACCTAGACTTCGTAAAACTCTTGGTGCTAGCACGTGATCTCAAAATAAACATCCGCAAGCAGGCCATTGGGAGTTTTTTTGAGTGGGATCGGTTGGATCAAGCCGCTGGGGGATGTCAACATGCTATCGGTTCGTTTTGGTGTGTTGTATCTATGTGTTGTATCTAATACACCGCAACAGGCACAAAGATTCACCAAAACACGCGAAATGCAATTGCAAAATGCAAGCCAGCTCTTCTCAGGTCTATTCGAAAATTCAACAACTACTGTGAACAACTAGCTGCAATGTACCGACCTGATTGGGAGCTGCCACTCCCAGACGCTCTCCCTGTCAAACTCAATGACTTGCGCAACAGCCCGTTGCTCATGGAGGACATTTGGATCACTTGTACCACGCTGGAGGTTCCACATTGGCTTCAGGAAGTTGAGGTTTGGGTGGGAATACAAGCAATGTTAAAGCTCGATCACTGCTTGGAGGAATGCCGTCGATTAGGCGTTGAGGCGGACAATCTTTGCTGCTGGTTTGGACGGGAGCTCCTCGCCCTTGAAACAGCCGTGTTGTCACCTTCCAGTGAGTCTTTCCCCTCCAACGAGAATAAAATTATTAACCCTTGGTAGACCAAACTATCCAGACACTTCTCAAGAGCCGTTGTGATCACCTGATCTCACTCAAGTCTCGTTGGAGCAATACACTTGCTTCCAGCCCTAGGTTCGACACACATGTTCAGGCTGCCTTAAAAATCCGACACCAGGACCCTACCAATGCCAGCGTGACCTCGCCTTCACCTGATCCATTAATGATGACCTGGCTACAACTGCTGACACAAGATGTCGGTGAACTCACATTTGCTGATCCGGTGTATCATACCGCCGATCTTATAAACCTGGACGACATGCCGACGGATACAGGGGAAATCCTATTTGGCAACATGATTGATGCAGAAGTTGATGAAGATGATGAAGATGAGGCACCACCCCCTCAAGATAATGAACCATTGACGGTACAAGACATACCCGCACACGCTATAGAGCTCAAGTAGGAAATCCCCGTAAGTGTGGATCAGCACCATAATTTCCCTGTCTCAACAATATCCACACAATTAGGCATCTCTTGTCCAGGACAGGAACCTCGTTGATGGCCTGCATTTCCAAACAATCGGGCCACTAGCAACTCACAGAAACCGGTGCCGAGTACCCCACACGGAACCCAACCTATACGTTTTTGAGGTGGATGACATCATACGCCTCAAAACCCCAGGGTCTTGCCTCAATGATGTTTGCCTCAACAGCACAGCTGCCCTCCTTCAACACTGGTGGTCTCACCCCAGCGACCATTACGAAGCAGACAGTCAACAGTGCGCAATTTTTTCGACCTTTGATCTCCACATGCCGCACTACAATTGCCCGCATTCCGAAATTTGGTGTCGGATGCGTCATCTGGAATTCTGGTGTAAAGACATGTGGCTTCTACCCATCCATCGATCATGCCCAACTGGCCATTGGGTACTGGCTGTGATCTTAGTGTCCACAGGGAATGTTTTACTGTTTGACAGTTTCGCCGACATGGAAATGGGAGATAGGTGTTAGTCCATGAGTATCTGCTATCTTGTTATACTCACTCTTTCACAGGAAATTATGCTCTTGATCACATGTTTGGTTCTTGCATCCAACCATGAGGGACATCCCCTGCACGTCATCACTGAAGAAGGGTGGACCACGCAACCTCTACTGTTGAATGCCGTCCAGAAGGATGCCTTCAGCTGTGGATTGTGGGTTCTTGCTGCCATTGCAGCCGTCTTAAGAGGGTGCCATATTACAGGCTTGAAGGAGGGGGAAATAGAGACATTCAGACGGGCTTTGGTTAGACATGTATATGCTATACCCTGATGTACTCTTCCATAGCTGAACTATTCTGACGAACACACACTGCATTTCATTAAGGTCACGACATTGGATACTCATGACATCTGATACGCATACCCATTCACTAAGTATGCCGCTTGGAACACCAAAATCCCCAGTAATGCATCACACAACAACTGCTCAAGCCAACAAATTGTCTCCCTGACCTCCAAAGTCATCTCGTGGACTTCCTGCCAATTCTCACTAACTCCTTCAAGATGGAGGAGCTCATCCTTGTAGCGCATGAAGTGGCTCCGGAATTCTTCGAGAATGGTGATTTCCTTTGAAAGCGATTTCGTCTTTGTAGTTCTTAAGTACAGTCATGGACAAGCAAAGCCCACTAACTTGGTATCTCGGTAAATAATGTATCTAGAGCTGAGATTTTTCCAGATTCTGGCTCGGATTTGTGAAATGTGTCGAAAAACGCACCTCCGAAGTTTTTCCCACAAGGAATTGGGTGTGGCCAAAATTTTGGACCAAAAAACTGCAACATTTAAGGATAAAAACAGGTCAAAACCGGCCAGAAATTATTAAAAGCTGGTACCTGTGCTGGGCTTTGACTGGAAGCTACTCAGAAAGGGCAAAGAATCTATCAGAAAGGGATTTCCCTGTGTTTCGAAAGCCTAGTGTGATGGAATTTCTTAGTCCCATGATAGATGTCACATCAAAAGTGACTAAGTGCCCAATTTGGGTCAATGTTTGGCAATGTTTTCCAGAAGAACCGCTTGATATATTCTTTCAAAACTTGATGGGCAGATTGTTCTCCATGAAAGGAAGCGATTCCGCTATTTTTCATATTTTTCTTGGCACTTTTTGGGGTCCTGGCCAAAATTTCAGGGTCTATTTCTGTATATGGCCATTTTCTCCAAAACAGCTTGTGAGACTTGGCTGAAATTTGGCCAGAAGCTTCCCTCAACATATCTGCACGTTATCCGGGCACTTTGGTAGCCATCAAATACATTTCCATTTTTATTAGTGGGCTTTGCTTGTCCATGACTGTAGTCCCGAGCAGCGGCCTCAACAAACGATTTGCGGCATCCCTTGATGTACATGCAATATTTTGTATGGTGCGAATTGGCCTGAGTTGTCCAGTACTCTGGGTCAGAAGAGCTACAAAGGCTAGTGTCAGTGCAACACCAGGAGAGTATGAATTTTAGCATATGTTCAAACCTGTTGAATGGAAGTGGTACCAGATGGTGAGAGGGTGAAGCATCTGTGGCGAGGGTTTCAATAGAGAGACTAAACAGGGTGTACATTGTAAGTCTGGTGATGAAGTCCCAGGAACCACTTACTTTTGAGTTTGTCTTTTTTTCTGCCAGTGTGCCTGAATTTCAGACTTATGGCTTTGTTGAATGAGTTATTGGTAGTAATGTACAGCTAATTGTCTCACCTTTGGTAGCTGCGGGTGCTCTTGGCCCTGTTGGCATCCCGTTTTGCGTTGGCGGAATGATATAACCATGGTTGAGCCATGGAGAGAGAGGGTAAGGTAAGTATCAATAGGGAAACTCAGAACAAATCTGGCTTATGGTCTGACCTTTACTCTTTTTTTTTCTAGCAGGGGACAGGGCGATTTATGGGTATGGGTGTGATCCTGCATTATTATAAATCAATTCCACATAGTTTCTCATGCAGGAATCGGACTGTGTAATATTCTACCATAGGTTTTATGTTGCAGAGCGTCGTTTGTTTACTGGTAATCTCTTGGACTGTGTTACAGATCAGGCAGATCTCTTTATCATGGAGATTAGTTCCGCTTAAAACATGGAGATTAGCGCGATCATCTTTGATGAACCAAAAACAATCATGTGGTCAATCCATTTCAGTAACTGCAGACTGTGCTGCTCCCTTGTCCAACCAAAAAAAATCTGCCTTGGTTCAATGTCCCGACCTTCATACATAAGTCTACATTGGTGTAATCTATTTTTGGGTGTTGTTGGGTGGCTTACGGCCATTACCGATCAACTGTACAGTTGATCATATATAAACCCAACCAACCCTGACTTCTCCCCTTAACCCTCTTCTGCATCATTCCCCCACTTTAACTTTGTTCCATTCTCCCTCATCTTCTTTGCCTGCTCAATGTGTCCTGGTCAGTCCACCGACTCACTCCGCCCTCTGACCGAAGTCCATTCACTCATGAACACCCCAGACTGCCTCCAACCAAGCTCCTCCAGCTCCAGGCCCAGCGCCAGACCAGCCTCAGGTAGTTCATCAATATTTCTTGTTGCATTCTCAACTAATGCATACTCCTACTCCAGACAATGTTCTGGCCAACACACCAAGCATTGTTATGGGACAGAGATGGCTTGGTAACGGCAAGTAACTCTCGCTGATATGTATATGCATGAAACTAAGAAAGACCCCAGATGATAGCATATTTACCGACACTGACAGCCAGCCTGTCAGCCCCAGCCAAATGGTTATTGAATGTAAGCCTGTCTTTCCTCTTTCCTCCCTTGTCTCCCTTCAGAAGCTGACCATCTCTTAGTGACTGACTCCCCTGTTTCCTCTGCGCAAGAATTCCCCCTGCTACCCCGCCACCGCCTCCCGTTGATGGCACTGGCACCAATGATGAAATTTTGGTCATTGCCTGTGGGAACTGCACAGCCCGCAACGTGGTGGAGACGGTGAAGGACTATTACTATGTGGTCTTCAAAGGCAGGGGTGCAGTTGGTGTTTTTTGGAGCCTGGTAAGTCTGTCATTGAGCCATGTCATGCCAATCTGATGTTGTGCTCAGGAGGCTGCAGACCTTGTCTGTGTGAGCGTTCCCAATGCGTTCCGGAGAAAATATACCACCCAAAGTGCTGCTTTTGAGGTGTTAGCCCATGCAGAGTGCACCAACACCATTGCGTGGCTGTAGGGTGACTATTTTCATCATGCTGATCACTGCAGCCTTCAACCCTTTGCATGCTTACTGCATATGTTATACCCTATTTAAGTGCTCTCCCCTCCCTTGCATTCCTCTCTTTGCATACCACACTTCTTGGACTCCATTCACACCTGTCTCTTGCATTTCTTGAACTCTGTCTGCAATGTCTCTATATCTTGTACTCCGCTTGCATCTACTTCGCTTGCATCTTCTCCATGTTGCTTAGAACTCATATCTCATCGATTCCATGTCTTGTAGCCTGCCGTTCTGCCCTTTTTTGGACTAGAGTCACCACATTTTGAAACCGCCACTCCCCATTCTGGGTAGCTTCACTTGTGTTGTATTTTTTATTGCCCCTGCCCCTTCTTGTTGTGTATATTAGATGCTCTTAATTCAATTGACTTCATTGTTGCGTGTATGAACCACGTGTGACTGTATGTGATGAGGAGGTCTTTATTGTCCTCCACTGATTCCTGCCAGAATCCGGCGGAATCTGGGGAATTCCTGGAATTCCGGAGGAATCAAATTTGGCAGAGGGCCCTGCCAAATTGATCAAACAATTCCGCGGAATTTTGAATGGAATTCAAATTCTGCCGGAATGATTCTGGTGATCACCCGGAAGGAATAGCCATGGAACAAGACGGAACAGAATTTCTGATGCCCAAATCAAGCATTGGCAAACACCGACACTTGATTTGGGCATCAGAAACAAACAACCCACTCTCTCATCTCAACCACCACCATCGTCGACGACGCCCACCCATTGCCACGTCACCACCATCACCCGTGGTCACCACCACCCACAACGCTCGTCAACCAGCAACCACGACCACCAAACGACGAACGACGACGACGTCGTCATTCGTCGTCATTCAGAGGTGAGTCCCCCCCCTCCTCCATCCCAACCCACCCCGCTAACACACCAAAATGCGACCCAACGACAACCCAACAACGACGCGACACAACAACGACGCGACCACGCAACACGACAACAAGAACACAACACGACCGGCAACGCGACATGACGGCGACGCAACACGACAACGACAACACAACACGACGGCGACGCGACAACGACAATGCGACAACGACAATGCGACGCGACAATGACAACGCAACGCAACGACAACCATGCCCACAATGAGGGACGGACAGCACGTCAGCGCCCCACCACGTCATGTGCTGAGGCGGGTGTGGGCCGTTGACGATGGTGTTGTGGTTGTTGTTGTTGGTTGCGTCATCATGGTCATCCGTCGTGGCCGTCGACTGTCGTCGTCATGGGTGGTCCTCTCTACGCTTGCTCACCTGGTGGGGCTCGTGACATGGCGCTGCCATGTTGTTGCCATCGTTGTTGGTGCGCGCGGCGTTGGCGGTTGACGACGATTGGGGTCGGTTGACGACGAGAGTGGGTGACGGGGCTGTAGGCGATGTGGTGGGGAAGGGGAAGGTCGTCGTGGAGGATGGTGGTAGTCAAGGAAGAAGAGGGTTGAGGGCTTTTGATTCCTGTTTGGTTGTGTGATATCTGTGGAGCCTCTGGTTCAATCCTTGCTCATGTTATTCTTTTTGTATATTATAATAACAGCTCCAAACACTGCAATCCTTCGGAATTCCAACAGAATCTGTTGTATTCCAATTCCAATGGATTCCAATGGAAACTGTTCCGGGAGCCTCCCGGATTCCAACCATTTCCACCAGATTCCGTTGGATTCTGTTGGAATTTCCATGGAATTGGAAACCAAAATGGCTGAGGCTCCAGCCAATTGGTTTCCATTGGAATTCCATGGAATTCTGACATTCCTCCTGGAATCTGCCAGATTCCGCTGGAACTCATGGGGGATGGTAAAGACCTCGCTTGATGACGAGCATGCCAGAGTCATTTGATATGGACACAGGCGAGGGATTGTCTGGGCAGTTTGACAATGTGCCTGCCTCTGATGGTGGGTACGAAACCATCGGACCGCTTCCTGATGCTGAGGATTCGCTAGTGCTGTGCTGTCGAGCGTTGATGAGGAGCTCGAAAATAGACTGCCTCAGGACGGTTGTGGTTCTCCATATGTCAATCCGGTTGATGCACCCCTGGCTCCTCCCTTGCCAGACAATCCTTTCCCTCCGCTCAACCCTTATCCACAGTTCATTTTCCCTGATCCAATGCTTACAAATGTCTCTGTTCAAACAATGCTCCAAAAGAGGTGCTCCCTAGGGTGCATGATTTCGCACCGCCTTGGTTGGTTTTGGATGATCTTCCCATTTATGGACCTTCCTCCACTTTGCCAAAGGACACGGTGAAGGAGGCTTATTTCAAAGCACTTGGCTTTGGACCCCCAGGAGCATTGTCTGTTGATCACACACCTTCCTCCACTTTGCCAAGCAACATGGCGAAGGAGGCGTACCTCCAGGTGCTTGGATTTGGACCCCCTGGAGCCTTGTCTGTTGATTGTGCTCCATCTTTGACTGAATGCCCTGCTCACAATTTGGCCCACCAGGGGCATTACCTGGTGGGTTCGAAGTCCAGGCACACTTCAGTCTAGTGCTTGGAAGTCCGGTCCAGTCCGGTCTTTTGACTTTTTTTGGCAAGACTGAGACCGAGACCGGTCCTTATATTTTGAAAAGCCTTAAAAAACCGGACCGAACCGATGGGAACCAGTTCAGGGCGGTCTTGAGCAGTTTTTTACAGTTGCAAGACCGGTCTTAACCAGTTTCGGTCTGAACTGGTTGACAACCGGTCTTGGACCAGTCTCGTAGTTACAGACATTGACTAAATACACTACCACCCATCAACCACATCAGCTTCCATGTCTTGATCCCATTCCAGACCATCAGT